TTTGTATCAGGAAGGCCATTGACTATTTCATGTTCCTCGTCGTCCTCGGAATCCTGGTCGATCATCATCTCCGTAGAAACCGGAGGGCCACTCTCAGGCTCACGGGGAAGAGATGGATTCCTCGAAAAAGCAACGACGCATGCTAGCTGCCCGAGAACAGCTCCAGGACCTCCTCCCCATGACCAAGAAGCCCACTGCTCAATCGTTCGGAATAATTGGCTGAGACTGATTGATCTTGGCGCATCTAGAACATTGCAGACTTGCAGTCAAAAGCGAGGTGAAAAGTCAGATCCAAATGATTGATTGATCAGGTATCGAGCCAGCTTAGAGAAAGACGACTATCGTTATGGATTTTCACATGCTACTTACCTACGAAGATGTTGAGAACGATGTAGGACGTCGCGATCAGCGTACAGAAAACAGTCTGCCAAGTGTAGCGCACGCAATATTCAATCATGCGTTTCCGATGTTTTCTAGCTAACTCGTCGCCCTTACGACCTCCATCCCATCGGTCCAAAGCCGCAACCTTTTGTCTCAGGTTTCCTTCGTTTCCTGCAAGCCACATTTGTCTACCAGGGTTACTGGGTCTTCTTTCGAACGGATTTCGGGGCTCGTTAGAGTTTCTATCAAGGGGATCGTCGTCCTCGTCTGGCTGAAGTGAGGGTAGCCAAACCGAGATTCGCTCGAAAATCCGATTTGATGGCTTTGTTCGAGTTTTCTGCCCTTCGTTGCGCCAGTCGGCCTTGTCTGTGGTAAGTGCGGATCCCGGTGTAATAGCGGAGACAATTGACACTCGGCTTGAGAGAAGCTGTTCGCGCTCGCGTTGGATTCTACCCAGAATCTCGATCTGGCGTGTGAAGGCCAGCAAGAGGGCAAACGATGCTGATAAGAAAATGATGAGGGCAGTAAAAGAAACGAGGAACCAAATTCCTGAGAAAATCCGAAGGTTGTTGAGCGTTTGATTTTCAGAGTCTTGCAAGTCAAGAAGCTCGCGCCCAGTTTTCACAGCCAATAGAAGGCTTGTACCCATATCTTGCGGGATAGCAGACAGATGTCCGATCAAGTCGTTGACGATCAGTTCAAAGGCTTCAAGGCGACGGTGGATGATCTGAACCCAATAAACCGTGAAGCACAACCAAGGAACAGGAAGGAGACCGGTCAGATAGCCTATCAAGATCAGCGAGTTGAAGACCTTTGGAGGCAAAACTCGGCGACGGGTGATGCGTGCAGTGGATCCCAATACATCTCGCCGACGAAGACGAAAGATGGAGGAGGGCAGTGCATATAAAACAGCCCAAGCTAGAAACGTATCAATCACACCGTCAGCTTCCCATCACATCTCTGCAAAGTGTCTGGGGAAGATGTTCGTACTTTTTGTCCAACCACCGAAATACAACGTGCTGCATGCGACCAAATTTAATGCCACCACTCGCTCACCTTTACCATCGGTAAGCGGACCGATGAGTATGAGCCCGATTGCAGTAGATTGAGCTATCGAAGGGTAGTTCATGCGTCAGTTGCACAAACCATCATCGCTTGTGTTGTGCGGTGAGGACCGGCTTGACTTACTAGCAGCATATATGATAGTGACAAGCGGTATTGCAACATGTACATTTGGGCGCCAATATCCATCAACGTCTTTTTTGAAGCACCACAGGCCACTTTCGCTTGCCCGGCGCATTAAGGCGGCAAGGTATAGAAATCCACTCAGACACACAATGATACCCTGACACCATAGTACCCGCTTATCTCTGGGAGTATATGGGGATCGCGCTGTTGCTAAGATCTTGTCTCGAATGATAGTCCATTCGGCAGCAGTGGTGGGAATACTTCCGGTCGACAATTGGCTTGTCATTGTAAAAAAGTATGCTGGTAGAGCGTGATATTTTTCAATCGGGGTTCTGAGGTGAATTGGGTAACGTCGATCCTCGGAAACGGCGAACAGTATCACAGATTGATTCTAGTGGAGAGCAGGTTTTGGGCTGATTTCCCGTTCGGACAGTACGTTGAAGCCTCTCCGTAATTGTTATATGATAATGAAGATAGGTTGAACAAAGATATGCCACAGAATTGGAGTTGAATTGCTATTTTTCCACGATAAAGGAATGGTCGTATGTGAGAGGTTGATGAAGGTACCTGTTCGATATGCTTATCATCAGTTAGGAAGATCAATAAGTGAGTGCCAAATGGGGTTAAAAAGTGTGCATGGGCGGAACTTGATGACCACAGTTTGTTGGCTAAGATAGTGACAGAGCAATGTTCGGTAAATTCCTATGCACAGCGAAAAACTTTGCAAAAGGATATACCTTGAAACAAAGGATACTACGACTGACCATAGATATGCCTCCCCTGAACTGAGGCTGAGCAGGGCGAAGTGAGATTTGCAGGCAGCAAAACAAAGGACTCGACAATGGCGACTAAGGAAACAATGACAATAGACAATGGGAACCTCATTGTTGATAGCCTAAGGCTCCCGGTCAGTATTAGGTACAAAGACTTCGGAAACAAGTCTCAGCAAACCCATAGAAACGGGGCTCTCACTGTTACATCAGGGGTACAGTGACGGTCAAATATGTCCCTCATTATGAAGCTACCAGCGATGGATGCCGTGTTTCAAGACGAATCGAGGTGCTATATATACAACCTTTGCATAGAGGAGAGGGGAATTGATATATATATAAAACCTCTTTCGCTGTCTCAAGTCGCAGATATGTACCGGAGATCATGATGCGATGCTAGATGATTCAATCGATCGTTTAGGTTGATCATATACGTTCGGACAGAGAAAAGGACGAAACAAAACCCTTAGCATAGCAATTCCAGTCTAGGACGCAGCGGAAGATATATTGCTAGTTGAATACAAGTGTGACGATACGCCAAGAGATATAATAAAACGCGATATTGCAGAAACGATTGGGATTATAGTTCAATCACGATCGATGGTAGGGGGCAGTTTCTGCCGTTGATCGAGCGATCACGAAACCCATCGCTTATCCTCGCTGGAGGTGGAACGAAGATGCGACCACCCACGGCTGTAGAAATTGGATTGAGTTGAATGATGCGGCGACCCTTGCACACCTGATGCGGCATGCCTGATTATATGGAGCTGGGTGATTCAAGTTCTGGGTATTTATCGGCATTTTGTCACTACTCAAAAGATGTACCAGGATGCGCTTTGGAAGACTTGGTCGACCCACGCTGCAAATGTCGGTCAAGGCAGAATTTGGGAGGGTTAATGTCAGCCAAAAAGTGCCGTAAAGTTCAAGTACTTTTGCTTCCCGAATCCCAGCCCGTCGGAGGTCATAAATTACAACAAAAATGCAAGCGATGACCGAGGCACGAGGGACTTACTCCTTACCCCGAACATTTGGCGTGGTAGGTTGAGAATTTTAGTAGGGAAAATTTGGGATCTCCTTTAACCCCAACGTCCCATGATCAACTGTGTGGAAAAAGTGGGTGTTCTTCATCGCTTGCTATGTATAAACCCCGGCACAATGGGACTTAGTTAAGTTTGAGACAATGTGCTTTTCAGGTGAGCTTTCTCAGTTTTCAATTTGAAATCCCCACAGCATTTGTATGTTGAGACAGATATCTTGGCATTTCTCCAACTTGGACCCCATAAGCTCAAGTAGCAGGACTTGGGTTTTCTAAACGTACTGAGCCCAATTGAAATCAACAGGGATTGGGCAAGGTGAAATTTTGGAAAACTGAATTTAGCTGCAACTCCAACAAAGGGCCTGGCGGATCCACCACAAATCCAGACTACTTATATCTGCATATGTATAAACAGACAATGTTTTCAAATGGAGTTGACCTGGAAATATGTCAGATCAAAGGAGATCACATGTCTTGAGGACAGGTTGGGATACACAACAACAATTTTTTGATCAAATCAAAAGCAAAAAAAATGGTGGAGTTGCAGGACCTGTGTGGATGGTTGTCTGCTTTGATTGAGTAGCTGTCCAGTTTTATTGAATTGAAGATATGTGAAAATCTAATATATAAATATGTAGAACAGACTCGCATGAGTGTTTGGTCCTCTGTTTGGTTCGTCGGCCAGATGCTACTCATATTTTGCTTTTCCATTTCCCCATTTTTCCCTGTTCATCTTTCCCCCTTCTTTTACTTTTTGTATTTTGCTTTCTATTGTTTCCACTTTGCGATTCCCAAATTTGCTCATTCCCTTTGTTCTACATGTATGCGCTTTTGCAGCCCAAGACGTGCCTTTATTACTTTTACTGCTTTCCATTTCCTTTTTAATTGCTCCATATTGTTTTATACTGGACAGATCAATCCAGATCTGTCCCTTTCTAATACATAACACTGCTTGTAAACCAAATCCAGATGTACCGGATTTGCCCTGTCATCTCTACTTGTATTACTCATTTCCTTATGTGTACATTGTAGAGAGATGAAGGCCTATATAAAGCCTCCCTCTCTTCCCTTGAAATGTAGCCTCAAGTTGCTTCTCCTGCACTGTTACCATACCAAGTTGTGATAGGAATCACAAATTTCAATTTTCTGTTTCTGCTTTGTGGCCTCTTTTGTTTTTCTACTGTATCCCCCTGGCTATCCCGCAGTTTTTCTCTCTGCCCTCCTACACTTAGCCACTTTTCCTTTTCCGTTTTGTTCTCCTTTCTGTCTACTTATGCATGTGTCTTTTCCATTTGTACCAACTTGAGGTCTCCTTCCTTTTTTCAATCGACTGTTCTAAACGTCATCAAATAATTTCTATATAAATGTTTAAGCATAAAATGCCTCACTTTCATTTTTGTTTCTGTTGTTGTCTCGTTACTTCACTGCCATACTTTTTAATTAACATACATTTCTTTGCCTTGCTTTTGCTTTTGCTTTCTTTCATTTCGTCATTGGCATAGATTTTGGGCTAACATTCATAAGTTAGTGATAGAGGGGTTGAACAAATCGCGCGCCAACCAGATCAAAGGGTACTTTGATTATCACCAAAGATGTGATCACAGTGTAAGTGGGGTAACTGAGTTGCGGATTAAACTACTAGGAGTAAGGTGTAGATTCAATCTTGTCCCACCATGACAAAACTGTTGTAAAACAAGTGGGTTTGCGAGTTTGGCGATTGGCAATTAAACTGTGGCGGGCATGCCCGCATGTTCTCTAGTACTCTAAAATATAATTTTACAAAAATTCACTTTGCCCAATCCCTAACAACACAATTTCACATGGTGAGCTTGAGATGCTCAATGTCCAATCTGATCTTAATTGGCATGTGAAAGTTTTGTTGACTTGCAAAATTTCTGATGTTGAAACAGACTAAGCTATGCCTAGGCCATGCATCAGTACATATGTAGTAGAATCTATTTAGGAGCAAAGTGGTGCAGTTTTTTTACTTTCTTGTGCAAAGTTCAGATGATGATTTTGGATGTGACCAGA